CCCAGGTCATGGCAATCCTCCTGCCTCACCCTCCGAAGTCCTGAAATTACAGGTCTGGTTTCATTCTGGTGCTTAAAAGCAGAAAATGAAGTTTCCCTGTGCTGGTGGAAGGAAGCGTGGCCGGGGATTGAACTCGGGACCTTGTGCTTTCAAGGCAGGCAAGGCAGGCCTCGGAACCACTGAGCTAAATCCTTGGCCCCTAGATTAGCTCTTATCTTTTAGCCTCCATCCACTCAGTCCTGCCCCAGCCCAGGCCCCTTTTTCTCCATACAGTTTCAAAAGTTATATTCTAATTCAGCATGCTAGACGGGCACTCGACCACTGAGCCACACCTCAGCCCTTTTATTTTTTATTTTGAGATGGGGTCTCACTAACTTGCCCAGGCTGGCCTTTGACATGGTCCTCCTGCCTCAGGCTCCCAAGTAGTCAGGCTTACAGGTATGTGGCACTTGCAGTGCATCCAAACTCAAGTAAAGCCCTGCAGCTATGCACAGACTGAGGATCAGAAAGCCACAGGCCCCCAAGCCAGGAGTGGTGGTGCACACCCGTGATCCCAGCACTCTGGGAGGCTGAGGCAGGAGGATTGCAACTTTAAACCCAGCTTGGGTGATTTAGCAAGATCCCATCTCAGAATAAAAAATAAACAAGAGCTGAGAATGAAGCTCAGTGCAAAGGCCCTGGGTTCAACCCCGAGTACCACCGCCAAAAAAAGAGAACACATCCCACCATCCCAGGAGTCTGGGAATGCCCGTCTCGCCGTCTGCTGCAGTCTTTCCAGTCGCCCTAGTGCACCAGGGTTTCTTTTCCGTTCTCAGAGAAACACAGGGTGCTGGACACCCGTGGGTGCGGGACAGTGGGCATGGGTGGACCCCAGGCCATCGGGACAGCACCCTCTGGCTCGATGGGGACCCTGAGCCTGGAAGATGAGCCCAGGGAGGGCAAGGCCCTCTTCCTCCTCAGTCACCGTGCACTCTGCCCAGCAGGCCCAGCCTGAGGCTCTGCTGGGTTCCAAGACTGTGGGCCGGAGGCGGCTGTTTCTCTGGAAGGGGTGAGGGAGCCGAGGTCCGGGCGAGGCTGGCCAGACATGCCGAGGGAGGACTGACGCTGTCACTCTCACTGGGGGAGGAGGGTGCGACTCCGGAGCGGCCTCCCAGGGCTCTAAGCCTGGGTGTCTTGGTGTGGGAGGAGGCTGCAGTGGGGCTCAGGGCAGAGCAGGTGTCCGAAAGCCCGAGCCCTGGCCCAGCCATAGTGAGATGGAGGCAGAGCGGCTCGGCCTGGGGCTGTGGCGCACGCCCGTTGCCCAGCTGCTCGAGAGGCTACGACAGGAGGCCACTAGCTTGAGGCAGCCTGGCCAGTTTAACAAGGCCAAGGCTCATAATGAACGAAAAGGACTAGAAGCCAGGCGTGGTGGTGCACACCTGTAATCCCCGCACGCTGGGAGGCTGAGGCAGGAGGATCTTCCATTTGAGCCCAGTCTGGGCAATTTAGCCAGAACTTGTCTCAAAATTAAAGAAATAAGGGCTGGGGATTTAGCTCAGTGGTGCTGCCACCTGCCTTGAAAGCACAAGGTCCTGAGTTCAATCCTTGGTACCAAAAAATAAAAAAATAAAAAATAGAAAATTAAAGAAATAAAAAGGGGCTGAGGATTAGCTCAATGTGAAGACCCTGGGTTCAATTTCCGTGCCACAAAAAGGGGAGCTGGAGGTGTAGCTGAGTGGTAGCATGTCCCTGAGTTCAATCCCCGGTTCCCTTCCCTCCCCACAAAGGCTTGGCTATTCCCAAGAAGAAAGCAAAAGGTGATTCCAGTCTCCTAAATAACTAAGCCTGGCATGATGGAGTTGGCCTGTACTCCCAGGCACTCAGGAGGCAGAGGCAGGAGGACTGCTGCAAGTTTAAGGCCAGCGTGGAACACAGAGGGAGATCCTGTCTCAAAAAAACAAAGAAGAATTCAAAGAATGGCAGGCAGTGAAGTAGGACTTTGGACCCAGCGGGAGCTTCCTCAGGCCACGTGGAATGCAGCCCTCCCTGCTAAACTTCTGAGCCTCTAGGAATTTAAAGTGCAAAATAACCAGCTTTTCCTTAAAGCCCCAGGTTCCTTTAAACCCTGCATGCTGGGTTAGAAGCCTGAGTTCCAAGTGGCCACTTTGAATCCACAGAGCCACCCGGCACAGGGGGCCCCTAAATGACTGAGCGAATCCCATGCTCCACTCAGCCCTGAGAAGCCAAGGGTCTCAGGGACACTGGTGACTCTCTCAGGGCCCTCCAGGAAATCCAGGAGCTATTTTCCTTCTCCTTACTCCCAATAAACACTCTCTAACTTCCTCCTTTTGCCTAGTTTCATTCTTTGACGTCATGAGGCTGTGGCCTTGGTTTGTACAGAATTAACTCAGGAGGCTGAGGAAGGAGGGTTGAAAGTTTAAACCCAGTCTGGGAAACTTAGCAGCTTAAAAAAATAAAAATGAGCTGGGGAAAAAAAAACAGAGCTGGGGCTGGAGCTCAGTGTGAAGATGTTGGGTTCAACCCCCAGTGCTGCACACATGCGGAGAAAAATCCCTAAGGCCGAGATGTTCTGAGTGACTCCGAGTTGGCCACCAGGGTTAGATGGGACTGGTGACTCTCCTTCCGGCTGAGGACTCCCAGGTTTGGGAGCAAAAAGGGGCTGGGAAGGGTTTGTGGCTGCACCAGGGACAGGGCTGGAGAGGGCCCGGGACCGGTGGGGTCTGGCCCTGGTCACCCGGCCTCACTGCCCTGGATTATACATCATGAGCGGGTGAAGGCATGGGGTGGAGGGGCTAAGAGGCCTCTGGCCGGCCTTGGGTGGTGCCAGTTGCTGGACTCCTTCAGCCACCACCTCAGGGATGAGGGGACCGCATCGGTCCCTGCCTGTGTTTGAGTCTCACTCCCCCTTCCTCATTGCCCAGGCCGGAGACAGAGCACCGGGCAGGGAGACACCTGCGGACAGTCTCTAGTTTGCTGAACCGGAAAAGCCTCTGGAAATCTAAGGCACAAAACATCACAAACTGAGCTGAGCCCATTTGTCCTCTAAGGCCAGCATGTCCCTTGGGGCCAGTGACAGGAGCCTTGGACCAGCGCAGACAGGCGGAATGCTGCAGTGAAATCAGACTTCAAGTCCACAATGACACTGCCCGCATGGGCTCTTCAGGGCTGGAACTTTGAGCCAGCCTCTGTCCTAGGCTGATGTGGTCCTTTTCTCCCCATGCCCTGCCCAGGTTCCATGGTCCGTCGAACTGCGTCAGGGCAGCCTGAGGACCTCACCTTCTCATGAAGATGTCTACAGAGGCTGCAGGCCAAGGGGTTGGGGTGAGGCTCCAACCTGTGATTTGGGGGTTGAGGGCACCATCCAGCCCCTAACACCCAGTGTACACAGGTGTCCCCGAGGAGGTGACCCCAGGCAGACTTGAAGGGGGGACCCAGGCCACACAGGGTTCTGCGCTCTTCTCTCTGGGTGCTTTGGATTTACCTGGGCTAAAATTGTGGCAGGGCAGAGGCAGGGAGGCCAGGGTGGGTGTGGTGTGTATGAGGGTTTCCCAGGGAGAGGGGAGAAGCCCCAGCAGCAGATGGAAGAGGGAAGGGGTGAACCAGGCAGGGGCAGAGGGTGCAGTCATGGGATCCCCAGAGCATGGCTAGGGCCAGGGGAGAAAGGGGCAGTAGTGCAGTGGTCAGCGCCTGGCCACTGGGTTCCTGGCCTCATAGGCAGCAGCACGGTCACCAACTCTGCCGCCCCGGGCTTGCGGCCTGTGACCCACAGGCACACGGGACGGACGTGGAGTGGGAATGCACGAGCTGAGCTCACACGCAGAGGTGCATGGACTCCCTGGTGCTGATCAGCAGTTGACTGCGATGCAAACATCTGCTAGGAAACGTCCGTTCCCGAGCACCGCCAGCCCTGCGGCTGCTGAGACTCACAACATTGTGAAATGAAGTCATGAACCAAAGGAGGAGGGTGGCAGAGTTTTATTGGAAATAAGAATAGGTCCTGGGATTCCAGGAGGGGCCCCAAGTGGGTGACCACGGAGGGGCACCCCCTTTGTCAGGGGCACTTTATACAGCAAAACCACAACGTGGGCACAGCATAACCCCCACTAGGGTTACAAGTATAATCGCTTGGCTAAGATTGATGCAGTAGGGAAACAAGGCACACAGCAGGGGCCTATGGTGAGCTTCGTTAACTGCAATTTATCTACAATTCTTTTTGTTTATTTTTGGTTTTTTGGATCTCATTATGTAGCCCAGGCTTGGGTTGAATTTGGGATAATCCTCCTGCCTCAGCCTCCAGAGTGCAGGGATTACAGGCGTGCACCACCACAGCCGTTATCTATAATCTCTAATCCTAGACAGAACAAAGGCGTTCCTAGAAAGGGAGGGAGCGTGGGTTGGGGGGGGGTCTACCTGGGCCGGTGGATGAGGCGTTGCTAACCACTGCACAATCTCAAGCTGCCTCGTGTCTAGGGGCTCCGGGCCTGCTGCGGCCTCTCCACCGTCAGCCCGGCTCTTCGGTTTCGTCCGCAGCACCGTCCTGGTGTCTCCCTTCGCCCTGAGACCCGGAGGGCCCACCCCTCTCTGGCTGCCTGTTAAGTTCCACCCAAGTCAGCTACCTGCAGCGCTGAGGGCTGCTCCCGAGCATTGAGCCGGGCCGGGTCACCTGACGCCGGGCCCAGATGGGGTGCGGGCCCGGCGGGCGGGGCTTGGGTGCAGGGGACACCGGGTCCCAGGGCGCTCTGGGATGTGGGCGCCGGAGGGGCGAGGACGGGCTGGGGAGTGTGCAGTCTGCATGGCTCAGGAGGGGCGCGCGACGCCGGAGCCCTCCAGAGGGAACTGAGGCGCGGGTAGCCGGGGACACGGGCTCCGGGGTAGCCTCCAGCTCCCGGGGGCGGGGCGAACTCCAGGCCGCGCCCTTCCGCGCCGTCGCCGCGCTGGTTCGCCGACGTGCGCTCTAGGGGCGGGGCTGCGCTGGGTCCCGCCCCTGCCACCTCCCGCCGCGCGCGCGCTGAGGTCAGAGGCGGCGGCCGCGTCCCGAGCGCCTGCGCGCCGCAGCCACCGCCGATCGGAGCCGAGCCACCGCGCCGAGCCCGCCGCCCGGCATGGAGGGGGACTGCCGCGTGCTGTCCATCCAGAGCCACGTCGTCCGCGGCTACGTGGGCAACCGGGCGGCCACGTTCCCGCTGCAGGTGGGCTCCGTTACGTAACCCCCGCGCGAGCCGTGACCTTGCGGCCGCGACAGGCGACACGCGGGGGCGGCGGGACGGGGTCGCGCGTGGCCAGGGTCGCCCCCGCCCTCCCATCGCTGGCGAGCCGGCACCTGGGCTCCCGGCGCGGCCGCTGGCCCTGGAGAGCGCGCCTGGCCGAGGCCCCCTGCACCGTCCACCCTCCCCAGGTGCCTGGGCCCCGGCCCCGCCAGCACCTGGGCGTCCTGGCCCTGCAGACAGGAAGCGGAGTCCGGGCACACCTGAGGCTGCCCAGCGGAGGCTGGAGAGCCCCGGGTTCTAGTGCAGGAGGACGCGGCTGCTGCGTGGCCCCCGCTGGGAGTGTAGGAGCTTCGCCCACACTGGCTACGGCCCCCCGGCCGCCTCTGGGGCGGCGGGGCTCCCCGGACGGGAGGTCGTGGCAGGGAAGGAGTGGTAAGGCAAGGTCGCTCAGGTGACTGAGCTGCGAGCAAAGGTGCCCTGAGCAGCCCCGCCCACCTGGCACAGCAGCCCCTTCAGGCCTGGGCCTCTGTCCCCTCCCCTCCCTTCACCTGCTGCTCTCTTCCTCGGCTCCCCGGGACCCCCAGCAGGCTGGTAAGAGCTCCTTCTGCAACCACCTGGGTGGAGCCTCCCGAGTACGAGGACGGAGCTGTTCTTATCTGGGGTCTCAGTATCCTTACCTGAGACCCTCGGGCAGGGGAAGCGTTGGGATGGGTGGGGCTGCAGCCTCCCAGAGCACCAAAGGACTGGGCGTGGCTGGAGCTGCAAATGGCCTTGGGGTCTGCAGCAGGAAGCCCCTTGGGCAGCACCCCCTAAAGTCCAGGGCCAGGAGAAGAGACCGTGTGGTCTGTTCAGGTTCTTTTACGGTGCCGCCCAACTCGAGTCCAGAGTGTCGTCCGTGTGGTTACACATGGGGAAAGAAAACTTAGGAAAGAGCAAGATGGCCTCTAGGACAGAGACAGACCTGGGCGAGTCTCGGCAGTGCAGTGTGTGTGCCGTGCTGGAACTCCAGCCGGGGACTGCGAGCCTACCCTGAAGCCCTTTGCTGTTGGGTGGGGTTCATGGCTCCCTGAGCCCTTCGCGCTGGGCGCAGTGGGCACCACCGCCAGGAGCTCCCACGGACAGCAGCAGCCTGGACTGTCAGAACCCCGCCTCCGAGCCTTCTGCCTGCGCCTCTGCCGAGTCCCCTCAGGCAGCCACCTGCTCTGGCTGAGGGCGGAACCTTGACCCTGTTTCTACAGTTTTTGTTTCTGGGCGGGAGTCCAAGAACCTCAGTGGCCAAAGAGAATGTGTTCATGTGACCAGTGCTGGTGGGAGGTGGCGCCGTGCACAATGACCCAGGGTTGGCAGAGCTCCTGGTCTTCCTGCCCCCACCCAGGCCCACCTGACCCTCCCTGGAGGGGGAGACTTCCTGCCACTCTGGCCCAAAACTGTAGGGTAGGGGGAAGAAAAGGGAAGGGGTGGCTGAAGTTGGGGTGCCCTCCTGCCTGCCGCCCCCCAAGATGCCACCAGGACTGTTTTCCCCGTTTTATTGTGGTGCTGGGGATGGAACTCTGCCAGCTTTGTGGCATCCCCAGCCCATTATCTCTTGGAAAAGGAGACCTCAGAGCTGTCTGCGTTGGGCGCTGGAGCTCCTGAGCCCCGAGGGTCTGTGTAGCCTCCCCGACAGGCCCTCATCCTGCCGGCCCCACTCTGCATGGGGGCCCAGGGACCTTGGGTCCCGTTTGAGTTTGCCACAGACTGGGTGGCTTGTGACAGAAATTGAAGTCTGAAGCCACAGTGTGCAGGCCCTGCCCCCCCGAAGGAGCACCTGCCCCCAGGGCCCTGGCTGGTGATGCCTTGCTCTGTCTGTCCCGTGGCCGTTCCCCTGTGTCCCCTCTCCTCTCCCCTGTGTCCCCTCTCCTCTCAAGGACGCTTGTCTTTGGGCTCAGAGGGGCTGTCTGGACAGCTTGGGGATCATGCCCAACCATGCCCTCTCCTTCCGAAAGGACGGCTCCTCACGCACTTCCGAGCCTCCTGCTAAGCCTCAAACTAGGCCCCTTTAGAGCTGCGTAGGGCCCTTGTGACGTTTGGTGGGCCCCACCAGGGACCGTCTGCCAGAGCGGGGACCTTTGTGGACAAAGCGAGGTTCAGGACCTCAAGAGAAGGCTTCAGGATTGTGTGGGGAGCCCAAGTGTGGTCACCTGCAGGACAGACAGGCACATGGGCCGAGAGCCGTGGCCTGGCAGCCTGGGTCCCTCACTGTGCCTGCTCCTCCCTGATGGGGACACCGGTGGAGCAGCCAGGCCCTTGGTGGAGGGGACCTGGGCACACTGGCAGCAGGACCAAGGGAGCCGTGGTGGTGGGGAGGGCAGGGCCGCCCATGGGGCCACTCTCCGGCATGGGGCGAGGTCCCTGGGTGGGTGCTGGCACCTGGTGGAGCCGCCAACCCGTCGTGGGGCCAGACAGGTGGTGCGGGCGCTGTGGCTGAGGACTTGGACAGAACCACCTCGGCCACCTCTGGGCAGCTCTGCTGCCCTCTGCTGGCTACTTGGGTGCTTGAGGCACCTGTGAGTGGCAGGCAGGGTGGTGGCCACAGCTCTGCCTGGTGCGGTTCTTGGGATCTGGGAGCCTCCGGAGCCTGTGCCTTGGCTCAGCCGGTGACCCTCTGTGGCTGGGCTATGACCCCTGCCCTGGCGGCTGTGCAGTGTGGTCCTGGGCAGGGCCTGCCTGGCACCACAGTCCTGGCAGTGGGCACCAGAACCCACAGGTGGGGCCAGACCGAGCCGGTGGGGCGGGTGCACCCCTGGGGGAGGTGAGCCGGGTCGTGGGGTAAGCCAGGGCAGGGAGGTGCATGGCGGGCACAGTCTGTTTCCTTGGAAGCCGAGCCTCGTGGTGCACACCTGGAATCGTGGCACTCTGGGAGGCTGAGGTGGGAGATCATAGGTGCCATCTCCACCTGGGCAATTTAGTGAGACCCTGCCTCAGAATTAGAACGAGCTGAGGGTGCAGCTCAGTGCCCGGCTCTGGGTCCCGTCTGTGTACCTGGGCTGGAGACGACCGTGAAGGACAGCTGGGCCGAGTTGTGGTGCAGGCCCGTAAGGATGGTAGCAGGGCCCTGGGGACCCGGCCCCCACCATTGCTCTGGGTGATGGCAGACCCTCCCTCCTTCCTGGCTGGTCCAGTGACCCAGGACCGCCTCTCTGCTGGGCTGCAGTCCAGGGCTCCCCAGCCGCCCGCCCTGGGAGGGGAGCAGGAGGGGATACTGCGTGCCCGCCCCCGCCTGCTCACCGGGAGGGTTGGTGACAGGGCTGGTGATGCAGAGCAGGGCCACTGGGAGTGTGCAGCAGCAGCTGGCGCCCCCGCAGCCCGCAGCGTCAGGCCTGTCACCGAGAGCGGGCGGGGCGGCGGGGGGGGCACATGTCCTGGGCGGGCGGACGCCCCTTCCCAGGCCCCGCAGGCTGCTCCGGTCTGCAGGGACCGCTGTGCCCAGGCGCAGCCCTCTGAAGCTTTCAGGGTGGATCCCTGGCCCTCAGGCCCCTGGGCTCCAAGCTCCGCCCACCTGAGCTTGCGCCGCCTGCCGTCCGCCCGCCCCTCTGTTCGTCCACCCGCCTGGGCCTGGCCGGTGGGCCTTCCTCGGGGGCCCCGCTGAGACCGGCTGACACAGCAAGAGCTGGTGGATGTAGTCGTCTCTCCCTCCGCCCCCTCCCGGGACCACACCGACTTCTGCAGGGCTTCTCAGTGTTGCCGAGTGTGGGGGAGGCCGAGAAGGCGCCGAGGTCGGGGGCTTTTGTTTTGTTCTGCTTTTTCAGCCCGGGATTGAAGCCAGGGCCTTTGCTCTGAGCTGCATCCGCAGCCCTTTTTTGTATTTTGAGACGGGGGTCTCACTAAATCACTAAGTTGCCCAGACTGGGCTGGAACTTGCAGTCTTTCTGCCTCAGCCTCCCAGAGTGCTGGGATGGCAGGCGTGCGCCACACCCAGCTGGTTCAGAGCCCTTTGGGGTTCACAAAGTCAGTGGCCAGCAGTGTGAATCCGCAGGAAGGCGGGACTGAGGCTGCGCTGTGGGCTGCTGGGCTCTGACTGGGGACACGTGGCCAGGGTCTTGGCCTCCGCTCAGAGGCTGGGGCTTCAGGGCGCCGCACGGGTGGGCTCATGAGCGGTGCTGTGCAGGGTGGGAGCACCGCAGGCACGCGCATGACGGGGGCTGCCCTGGTCCCTGCTCGCTCTTCTCCCTGCCCTGGGCTTACCCAGCACGCGCTTCCTCTTCCTTTTCTGAAAATGAGTCTCCCTCTCCCTCTTCTTTTTGCTCCCTCCCGCTCCTCCCCCTCTCTTTCTGTCTTTCCCTCTGTTCCCCCCCTACCCCTCATGATCCTCCTGCTTCAGCCTTCCAGTGCTGGGATCACAGGCAGGCAGCACCATGCCCGGCCGAGGGAGTGCTGTTTGCATCTTTTCCTGTACACTGGTGAGGGTTAGAAGCCAATGTGGGTGGGGAGGGCCGTCCCCCGGTGTGGACCTGTCCCTGCGACCTGGGAGAAGGTGGCGGAGCCTCGCTGTGTGGCACAGCGTCGTCCTGTGGAGCAGTCAGCTCGGCTGAGGTTCCTGAGGTCCGCCTTGGGCATAAGAACCATGAGCCTTGCGGGGCGCTGGCTGTGAGCACTGCCCTCCAGGTCATGTGGCCCACGCCCAATCCCTGCGGCCTCTCTCCACACTTGTGGGTCACCCCTGTCCCTAGGGGATCCTGTGACTGGGTCAGACCCACCTGCTGGTGTCCTGGGAAGAGGTCACTGTTCTGCTGAACGGGGGCCACGTGGCTTCCTCCCTTAGAGTCCTTGGGTCCGGGGTTTCCTGTGAAACCAGGTGAGTGGCCCAGGGCACAGTACACTGGCTGGAATGGCCCAATGCCATCCCGTCAGCCACGCACACAGGACAGCACAGCGTCAGACTCGGGTCAGCTCCTCAGTGGGCAGCTCTGTAGGTGACAGGGACCACAGGGCGGGTTCCGCTGCCCACGGTCAGGGACGTCTCTGTCTGGGGAGGAGGAGGGAGCCAGGCTTCCCCTTCCGGTCCCAGGCAGTGCCCGGCAGAGCCCCTGCTGGGCAGTGATGGCATTGCGGGGGGTGGTTGGGGTCAGTGGGTCCTCTCCTGAGTGGCCGTGTCCGCAGGTCCAGTTGGGGGGTGGCCCTGGAGATGTTGGAACCGCCTGGTGATACTGCCAGTGAGTGATCAGTGGCAGAGCTGGAAAGAGATGCCTGCTCCGCTCAGGACTCCTCACCTGCACTCCCAGAGACAGTGGGCAGCGGCCCCTGGCAGGGTGTGCGGGGCCCATGTCCCTGGCTCCAGGCTCTGCCATCAGAGCTGCAGCCCCGCAGCTGGGCCAGCCAGAGCCGCCCAGAGCCCAGCAGGCGCCTTGGCAGAGCGTCACGTCAGCCCGCGGGAGCGAGGCTGCTCATCGGTTCATTGCTTCAGCGGTCAGGCTGGCCCTAGTAAGCCCGAATCTGCCAGGCGCCGCTCAGCAGGTGGGCGCGCTTGGAGAATCTGACGTGTGGACCATCACCGGCTCCAGGCCTCCTGGGCCTCGCGGTCTGTCTATCCGCCACCCCTGGAGCTTTCCTGCCACACTCGCTCAGTCTCTCCACCCCTGCCTCTCGCTGTCCCTCCCTGCCCCTGGCCCTCGGCCCTCGCCCTGGAGGCCCTCGCCCACCACCCTCTGAGGTCTGGGCTTCAGCAGAACTGCACACTCCGAAGGGCCATTTCCTGCTCCCCTGCCTCCTTGCTGTTTCCTTGCAAAGCTCCCTTGTTCTCTTGTTTAGGGTTCTGGCGAGGGGGGACCCAGGCTCTGTGCCACATTTACCCGGAAGAGGTGACAGCATCGAGAGTATTCACAGGCCTGCCTTTGCCCCGCCCACCTGGGCCCCGGCCCCTCTGACCTGCAGGGGCTGGGCCTTCTTCCCTGGACCCCCCCAGCCCCCCCGCAGCCTGAGGGCAGCCTCGAGACCTGCCTGGGAGTCAGCCCTCTGGGGGGGACGAGGGACGGCTGCGACCATCACGGCGCGGCTGAGATGTGGCGGGAGAGCAGGCAAGGTCTTCCAGCCCACGGAGCGGCCCACAGGGAGCACCGAGGCTGAGCTGTGAGGAAGGAGGCTGCACCAGGAGGGCCGAGCGGGCCGGCAGGCAGGGGAGGTGGCTGCTCCTGCCGTCCTAAGGCAGGAGCCCAGGGTCCTGAGCACTGGGAACGGGATCGGAAGCCCCCTGTGGTGTGGCCAGCAGCAGGTTTGGGTCCTCGTCAGGACTGTCAGGACCCCGACTCCAGAAGGCCAAGAGCTCAAGCTGCGTGGCAGGCCCTGCGCCAGGCCCAGGGCTCTAGTGGGGCACCCGAGGGTGCACTGCGCCCACTCTCCCTGCTGCCCTTCTGCTGAGCCTCCTCACCGTGGGGATGGGGACCCTGGCTTCTCCCCCGTGCTGCACATGGGGCCTGGACTGGAGGCCTTGCTTCTGTGCCGGGCAGCTCCGTGGAGTGGTGGCTACGGTGTGTTCTGCTCCCATGCCTGCTGCCCACACCTCCAGGGCTGGGTCTCGGAGAGAATGGCACATCTCCCGGGGCCCTCGGCCACTGTGGCTCACACTCAGGTGGCTCAGGGACATGCAGCCGCTTAGACATCTCTCTCTTCCCTTTTGTGCTGGAAAACTTTGAAAATCAGCCTTTTAACTCAGTGCTGCCTCTGAACTACCTCGGTGACCCGTAGCTTGTGGTTTTCTCCAGAAAGCTGCTTCGTGTGCCATGAATGAGCATGCCAGCGCATGCAGCCCCCTGACTAGAGTCCCTGAGTGACCCTGGGGTCCCGCACGGCTCCAAAGGCCCCTTGGGCCTGGCAGAGCCCCTTGCCGGAGCAGGGAGTGGTCTTTCATCTGTGACTGGGGGGGACTGGGCCCTGCAGAGCCTCCCCTCCCCAGCAGACAGGAGTGGCCACTGTCGTCCGGAGGCCAGGCTGGAAACCACCTCCCCAAAGGTGGCCCCACTCCCTCGCCGTCCTGGCCTGGGGTGCGGTGTGGAGCTCATGGAGCCCTGTGCCGCGTAGGCCCCTGTGGCTCTCGGCTGGTTGTTCCCGCATGATTCCTATGGGAAGAGGGGCAGAAACCCATCGCCTGGCTTGGGGCACTGCTCCCTCCTGCCCCACACCGGTGCCTTTCACGAAGGCCGGCTGCTTACGCTGCACCCTGCCATGTGTCTTACAGGTCCTGGGGTTCGAGATTGATGCGGTGAACTCAGTCCAGTTTTCCAACCACACAGGTGAGGCCCTGGCGTGGTGTGCGAGGGCGGAGCATGATGGGGCGGGTATGGGGCGGGCTGCCTCCTGAGGTACCCTGTAATTCTTGGGGGCCCCCAGGTGGGAAGAGCTCTGCACCCCTCCAGGCTCCTCCTGCCATCACGGGGGCCCCGGTTGGCCCATGGGGGCACAGGACTCGGTGGGCACCGCCCGGCCCGCATCTGCTCGGGTGGGGCTGCTAGACAGGCGAGTGGCACAGCGCCCCCGGGAGCACAGCCGTGTGCCCTTGGGCCACGGCCATCTGGGGCCTGAGTCGGCATGGGAGGACTTGCTTGTATCACCTCTGTGTTGTGAGCTGGAGGTGCCTGCGCGGTCCCTGAAGCGCTGATGCAGGTCACAGGTGGGGCACCGCGGGCCACCGCAGTGGGGGTCAGGATGGCTGTGTGTGTGAGCCTGGCCAGGCTGCCCGGGCCCTGACGTGGCCTCCCAGCCTGGGGTCCGCTCCCCGCAGGCTACACACACTGGAACGGCCAGGTGCTGAACTCCAGCGAGCTCCAGGAGCTGTACGAAGGCCTGAAGCTCAACGGTGTGAACAAGTATGACTACGTGCTCACGGGTGAGGCTGCCGTGGGGCTGCCACGCAGCAGGCAGGTGGGAGTGGGGCATGCTGCTGCGAGAGCGGGAGACGCCACCACCTGCAGGGTGAGCGCACTCGCGAAGTCCCCAGCTAGCGACATCATCTTCCTGTCCTCAGTTAAATGACATGTTTACTATTGGAAGTGGAAAACAAACAGGAAAAAAGTGTAGTCATCCGCCGATCATGAGTCCCTTCGTTTAAAACTTTATGGAACCAGACGTGGTGATGCACACCTGTCATCCCAGCACTCTGGAGGCTGAGGCAGGAGATCACAAGTTCAAACCCAGCCAGGCCATCTTATGTCTTAGAGAGACCTTGTCACCCCACTACCGAACCACCAAAGCCTCTGCTTGCCTTGGGCAGTGTGCGCTTTCCCTGCATCACTCTGACTGTGGGGACCTGGTGCTGGCCCAGGCCCGGCTCCCAGGCCATGTCCGCAGCCCCCGCGAGGGTGGCCTGGGTGGTGCCACCGCCGCCTCGTGCCCTTCTCAGACCATCGCTGGTTTCCCTCCGAAGGCTACACGAGGGACACGTCCTTCCTGTCCATGGTGGTGGACATCGTGCGGGAGCTGAGGCAGCAGAACTCGCGGCTCGTGTACGGTGGGTGCTGGGCTGCGCCTCATGGGCCCCGGGCACCCGGGCAGGGCGAGGGCCCATCTCGTCTCGGGTGTCTGCTCAGAGCGGCTGTGCCCTGCGCCTGGGGCCCACGGGAGCCCATTCCCGGCACACAGCTCACTGGGCTGACGGCGCGCGGTGTCTCCACAGTGTGCGACCCCGTGATGGGCGACAAGTGGGATGGCAGAGGCCGCATGGTGAGCAGCGGGCGCGGCCGGCAGGGCGGAGCGGGGCCCGGGTGGGGAAGCTCACTCTGAAGGAGGCAAGGGGCTCCCGGAAGGAAGGGACCCCAGCCCCTCGCCCTTGCTGTGGGCGGGCGACCAGCAACGGCCGTTGTGTGGCCCAGCAGCCAAGACGAGTGAGGCTGTCTCCTGAAATGTCCCAGCGGGCCCTGAACTTGAATTCCTGAAGCTTTCTGTGTCACCAGAGGTTTCCGTTCTGGGTTTTCCCCCAATCATTGAAAAGTGCAGACACCTCTCTGAGCTCAGGAGCTGTGAGAAACAGCAGCAGACGGTGGCCCGGCCCCTGACACGGGCAGGTGGGCCCTGGGGGCCTGTCCTCCACCATGGGGATGGACCAAGCTCACGGCCGCCTCAGAGCCGGCCGCAGAACGCCGGCCACTGTCACGTGACTTGTGCTGGCTGGATCCGCAGGCTCAGTGGGTGGGGTCTGCGGCGGCCGGGAGGGCAGGCTGTCCCTGGGCCCCAGCCCAGCCTGTTCCCGTGTTGCTCCCCGCCAGTCTCAGCAGGCCCGGGAAGCGCTGTCCAGTTCAGCGTGGACCCAGCCTCCTGGGCAGAATCAGCCAAGGCTGGTGTAGACAGCGTCAGGGTCAGGGTCAGGGTCAGGGTCAGGGTCAGGTCAGCGGGAAACCTGCGTAGGGAAAGGGTTGCGGGGCTCGGGGAGCGCCCTGGTCCGGTGCCTGGGGACGTGGCCCAGAGCGACCCGGCTCCCTCCAGACCCCGCAGGGCTGGGGCGTGGGGTCCTTTCCCAGAGCTCTGGTGCTCAGGAAAGCCGTGCGGTGTTTGCTGGGGGCCCAGGTGCCAGCGTGTAGCTCACGGCACAGTGAAGGCCATGGGCGGAGGCGCCCGAGAGCTCCTGGAGCCAGCTGGCGCTGTTCCCACCCAGCTGCCACCCCACCGCAGCCCAGAGCCCCAGCCCTGCCTGTTGACCGACTGTCTGTCCCCGCCGTGGTGCTGGGGTCCTGGGGCCGAGCCCGTGCTCCGCTGCCCTCTCCCTCGGTGTGGCGACCGCCCTGTCCCCCGTCCCACAGTACGTCCCAGAGGACCTCCTTCCCGTGTACCGAGAGAAGGTGGTGCCGGTGGCAGACATCATAACGCCCAACCAGTTCGAGGCCGAGTGAGTACATGGAGCCCTGGAGGGCTCCGGGCAGCCGTGTGCAGCCTGCTCTGGTCCCGGCCCTGCTGCCCTGCAGCGTCCTCCTCGATGAGGCACTGCTTTGGGTCTCTCTCTCTCTCTCCCCCACCTTTTTGGGGGCCCCTGACTTACTCAGAACTACACACCAAGGAGGAACTGCCTGTTACCCAGGCTGGGTCCCTGGCCCTGGCCCTGGCCCTGATTCACCTGCAGGCCTGGCCCTGGGCTGCTTCCCTTCCTGGGCACATCCACAGGAGGGGTGACACCTCCAGGCATGTGTGGGCTGCCTGCAGTCCTCCAAGTCCCTCATTGTCACCCTTGCTGGTGCCGGGGGTCACAGTGCTGACCTGCCCAGGTGCAGCGGATGAAAACCGCACTGTGCTCTGACCCCGCACCCAAGGCCCAGGCCAAGGCAAGCCCCGGACTCATGCACCCTGCTCGCCTGTGTTCCAGGTTGCTGAGCGGCAGGAGGATCCGCACCCAGGAGGAGGCACTGGCGGTGAGGACCCCCAGGCCCACAGTGCTGTTGGTGCTGCTGGTGCCGTGCCCCAGGGGGCACCTGTGCAGCACTGAGTGGCTGGGTGTGAGCATGCACACAGGTGGTTGGTGTGTAGTGAGTGCCGTGTGTGCGTGCGTGTGTGTGGTGGGGCTGATGCACAGCCAGAGGCAGCTGTACTGAGGAGCTTTCATGAGGCCAGGAAAGCCAACCTGGAGCCAGGCATGGGGACCTGTCATCACAGCACCCTGGGAGGCCGAGGCGGGAGGATCGCTGGTTTGAGCCCAGCCTGGGCAACTTAGCAAGACCTTGTCTCCAGATAAAGAGTAAGGGGCTGGGGATGTCACTCAGTGCGAGGACCCTGGGTTCAGTCCTAGCACTGAAAAAGACAAAGTCAGCTTGGAGAGGGGCCGCCCCAGCCGATGTGGGGCCACACCTCCTGGCTCCTTGCCCAGGGCCGCAGGGCGGGTTGGGAGACCCTGCTGTTCCAGCCCGGGCCCCGCCCCTTCCTGTTCTCAGCCTCTGCAGCAGGCGAGGCCCGGCTTTGGGTCTCTGGACCCCAGCCCGAGTGCGGTGAGGGTGGCAGCCACCCGGCCTCCCCGAGCTCATCACCGCCCGCCGCCCGCAGGTGATGGACGTGCTGCACTCCATGGGCCCCGACACCGTGGTCATCACCAGCTCCGACCTGCCCTCCCCTCAGGGCAGTGACTACCTGATCGCGCTGGGCAGCCAGAGGACCCGTGAGTGCCCAGCCGCCTTGCACTGCCCAGCTTTAGGTGTCAGTCCCCTGTGATCCCAGCACTCTGGGAGGCTGAGGCAGGAGGATCACAAGTTCCATCCTGAACAGCTGAGCAACCTAGGGAGACCCTGTCTCCAAAACAAAAATTCCAAAAGGCCTGGCTTAGTGCAGAGGCCCTGTGTTTAATCTCTGCTACTGAAGGAAACGCTTTTGCTCAGTAGGGTAAGATGACGCCACACTCAGCGAGTGGGTAATTTCCAGAGCTCCCGTTGGCTCTGAGGCTGAGGTGGGTGCAGGACGGGGTCTGTGTTGTGGCCACCAGGGAGGCCGAGCCCTCAGACGTCCACGCTGCACGCAGCACAACACGGCTCTGGGTCTGTGGAGGTCCAAGCCCCCCAGAGCGACTTCCGCTCAGCCATGTGGCCGCCGTGCAGATGCCCCAGCTCATCCTCTGAACCGTGCCACAGTGGCACGGAAGCTACGGCCACAGTGTCCACGCCCCTGCCCCAGCAAGTGCTCCCAGTGGCCCTGCACACACACGCGCAAGCACAAGCATCCACACGCAGCCAGGCAGTACACGGCTCAGCACTGCTGGTCTCGGCGGGCTGCCCAGCATCCCCAAGGCCGTCCTGATGGCCCTGAGGGTCCAGTATCTCAGTGTCTCCCTTGGGACAGGGGTGGCAGCAACACCGAATGTGCTCTGAGCCCAGGCTCCTGGCAGAGGCCCCCAGGCTCTGTGACCCCTACACTGCAGGTCGGGGGCCCGGGCAGTCCAGGGGCCGCTGACCAGCTCCACCCCTCCCCTCCAGGGAGGCCGGACGGCTCCACCGGGACTCAGCGCATCCGGATGGAGATGCGCAAGGTGGATGCCGTCTTCGTGGGTACCGGGGATCTCTTCGCCGCCATGCTGCTCGCCTGGACACACAAGCACCCCAACAATCTGAAGGTCAGAGCCCCGCCGTCCCCACCGTTCCTGCGGGGGGCTGCTCACAGGTGCGGGGGGGTGAGCACAGGACTCATCCTGCCAGTGTGTCTCTGCCTCCCATCCTGGGAAGTGGGGTGTGGCCTGGCCCGCAGGACCCTCGGGGTTCAGGCCCCGCAGCTGCACCCTGTTAGCCTCACACTGCCTGCAGAGGGCAGCGTGGTCCCCAGGGCCCCTGCCCTGGGCCTGTGGGCGGCAGGGGCCCAGGAGGCTGGGGCTGCGAAGGGTGAGGAGGGCCTGGCACGGACGCCGTCTGGCTTGGTCTGCTCGCCTCACCCCCGCTCTACCCTCACGTGGAACCCAGCTGACCACTCGGATGTGCTGGGCAGAGTGGGCCACTGTGATGAGGCTCAGGGTCTCAGGCTGGGTTTTGGGGTGCGTTGTTCAGTGGGGACAGGGGTTGATTACAGTGCCATCGCTGAGTGCTCTGCTCTCCTGCCCCACTGTGAGCAGGCTGCGTTGTGAGCACTGTTCAGACCGTCCTGTCCAGCACCATGGCAGACAGCTGTGCGTCCCTCGGTGCTGTGAAAGCCAAGCGGGCCCGGAGGTGCCAGCCCAGCACGCACCGCCCTGCCTCCCAGCCTGGCACTGGCAAGTGAAGAACTACCGGAAAGCCGCCCTGCACGCTGGCCCTGGGCACAGCCCTTGGCGTGCATGGGGCTCCTGTCCCTTAGAGCGGGAAGGGCAGGAGAAAGGCCCCATACCTCCCTCACTGTTGGGGACACTCGGGAAGAGAGGGGTGAGGAGTGTGAGTCTGCAGTGGCCTCACAGGACGCCACCTGACCCTGTGGGAACCTCCAGGGACCACATCCCCGGGCTGGGGCGCTTGTCCCCGAGGTCAGCTGGCCGAGGATGAAGAGGTGGATTACAGTGCAGGACAGTGGCCTGCCTGGGACCAGCCCGCGGCGAACCCTGAGCTGAAGGTCAGACCTGTCCCTTGCTGTGCGTCCCTCCAGCTGCCCTAGAGGGCAGCACTGAGCCAGGCCCGCAGGTGTACCTGGCTGCAGGAGACTTGCTGGCTGGCATCCAGAGGAGGCCAGTTCCTGCTCCGCCAGCTCAGGGTCGTGGGGTTGGGCTGAGCCTCCCAGGCCTTTGACCTTGAGACAGCATCCCAGGCTTGAGCACTTTTCCCGTACAGTCTTTAGAGCTGACTGACTCCAGGAACCCTGGGCATGTGCCTGCCGCATGCCAGGCAGTGTTGCAACGGCCCCTTCCTGCCCAGTGCCTCCAGGGCACAGGAAGCAGACAACATAGTGTGCAGGGCCTGTGCTGACGGAGTGGCTTTCCGTCAGCCTAACAAAATCGCTGAGGTTTGCCAGGTGTGGTGGCGCCTGCCTGTGATCCCAGCCCTGGGGAGGCTGAGACTAGAGGGTCAGCAGAAGTGTGAGGACAGGCTAGGCCACACGGAGACCCTGTCTCAGGAAAACAAAACCAAAGGAAACGCCTAGAGGTCACAGGTGCATACGGAGGGGGCACTCGCCTCTCAGCCCGGGTTCCATCCCCACTGGGTCAGCCCCGTTGCTTCTGGGCCGGTGGTGGCCAGCGGAGGCAGAGAGGGAGAGGAAGGGAGCCACACTGGGTTTCCTCTGATGTCAGTGCACCCAGCGACCCAAGGCCCTCGCCTGCCTGGGGACCCTGGCCACCCCACTGCGGCTCCCCACGGCCGCTTCCGCTAGGCCATGCTGCAGGGGCCAGGGCCTGGCCCTCTGCTGGGAGCCACTCCCTGGAGCAGGTGGGAGGGGCCTGGTGGCCAGCACAGCGTCTCTCCCTGCAGGTGGCCTGTGAGAAGACCGTGTCCGCCATGCACCACGTTTTGCAGAGGACCATCCGGTTCGCCAAAGGTACCGCCCTGCGCTCGGCCTGGGGACAGACGGACAGGCGGGAGGGAGGAGGCGGCCTGCACTGCACACAGAGGCCAGGAGGGGACCTGGACCAAGCTGTGACCCCAGCCACCGACCCTGACACTGTCGTTCTGCAGCCCAGGCCGGGGAAGGACAGAGGCCCAGCCCGGCCCAGCTGGAGCTGAGGATGGTCCAGAGCAAGAAGGACATCGAGGATCCGGAGATCGTCGTCCAGGCCACCATGCTGTGAGGGCTGCGCTCGCCCCGAACTCGCAGCCTGCTGCTGTCTCGTGTTGTCCCTGTGAACCTGTGATGTCTGCCCTAGAGCCGTGACCGAAATTCAGCATTCGTCCCCTCGTGAGAGCTGGGTGTCGCCCACTCCGTCGTGAAAATCGTGCCAGTGAAAATCGTGCCAGTCGTCCCTGCCAGGCCCCAAAGCAGCCCGCAGGTGTGGCGCAGACTCCGCCCTCCCAGGCCCAGGCTCCCCACGTCCCCCGAGGTGTGGCTTGGGGCAGTGGCTGGCCTGCTGCCCGGCGGCCTCTGTCGTAAGTAAGGCGTGGCCGAGGCTTGCGGAAGAATCACCCCGGTCTGTGTGCTGCCACCCTGGTCTCTGCCCGTCTGTCCTTGCGTTAGAATCTGTCGCTGTCTGGTGCCCACTGGGTCTCTGGGGCGCCCCCTGTACGCAGCCCCCGGACTGTAGGTTTCTGCCCTGTGGTCACCGTGGCAGGGACTTGGGCCCAGCAGACTCACGGTGTCAGCGGGACTCCCCGAGACTTGGGGTGGCTCCTAGGCACCTGCCACGCCCCAAGAGGGACGTGCTGCCGGTGTGACACGGGCACCGGGAGCTGGGGTGTCTTGGTTGGGTTCCCTGAGGGGGCTTGGGCCGGGCGCTGCGTGGTTCCCGCACTGTTGGCACACTGAGTGGGAAGGAGTGAGCGCTGGCTGCCTCTGGGAGGCAGAGCTGGGCTCTCCTGAGAGTGTCCCGAGAGCCGTGGGCCAGTCCGGCTCCAGGAAAGGTGCCCGGGTCCCTGTTCCGAGTCCCACGGCCTCCCCGCTCCCCGAGAGTGTCTGGCAGGAAGACGCCTCCTGGCAGCGCAGCCCTCCCTGTGCCTCCAGGCCACTGCAGTGCTCCTGGCCAGGCCCTGGGCCCAGTGTGGACAGGCATTTCCTGGTCTCCGCTGGGGCGGGGGCGGGGGCCTGGCCGGTGCCTGGCAGGGAGGGCTGCGGCGCCCTGCCCCTCCTGTCTTGTCTTGTCTCCCTCCGTCTGCTCCTTCTCTGCAGTGCAGAGAGAACTGTGTGTCTCCCGGGTGCGTGTTGCCCGTCCCTGGCCTCCCTGGCCGCAGCGTGGGTGTGGGGCTGGGCCCTGACATGCCAAGTCCCTTGAGCTGTGCTCAGCAGTGTGGTGACAAGCACCCTGCAGAGAGCTTCCTGCAGAACCGGAACTGCCCATTTCCTCAGCTGCGAAGCCTCGGGGACAGGGAGGCCAAGCCCCGGTCCACGGACTGAGCAGGAGGAAGTGGGGCTGGGTCTTGAGAAGCAGGGACCTGGGCAGGAACGATGTTGGGGACCAGGGTGCAGCCCCGTGGGCAGCACTGGGCCCACACCACAGGTGGGAGGGAGGGAGGGAGGAGAGAGAAGGGCGTGCGCGTGCTCAGAAGCAGGTCCGGCTGCGCCCTTGGCGTGGGCTCTCCGCGTGGTGAGGCTGCAGCCCGGCTCCCTTGGGCTTGTTCCGCGGGACGTGTGGCCCGACCCAGGGACGTCCTGGTCCACACGAAGTTTCCCATTGCGAAAGGCGGCGGTGGCGGCCAGCGCTGGTGGGAGTTCTGGGTCCAGGTTGGAGCCCCCTTTGCTCTCAGTGTCCATAGTAATACACAGTGGGGATGACTCACTTGAGGTGAAAGCTCTCAGCCCCTGTTGCCCGCTTATTCTTAGGAGACAGGATTTTAATGTTTTCTTAATCCAGACCGTAGGAAGGAACGGACGAATATGGTCTTTTTAGTCAATTTTAAATCATTGTCTCGTCCTGCCAAGGTAACTGTGCCTCGCTCAGTCCTTTTGCAGTTTCTATCAAAGATTGTAAACAAGATGCCTCCTTTCATGTCCTGTCTTGAAGTTGTTGGTTCCAATTTTTAAAACGTTTAGTTTTTCAGTGGACCAGGCAGGCCCCGCCTTGCTGCACTGCAGGGAGAGGGGGCTGCTTTACGGCAGAGGGGCCCTGCCCAGCACAGCCCCCCAAGTCCCTGCGGTGCTGGTCACCCCATCCCGTCCCCAGTCGGGGCCGGGTCGGAGCTCGCGTCTCGCCGTCACTGAGGAAGGCAGGCTGCCAGGTCACTGGCTCCAGGGCAGCTCCTGACCCCAATGCCCTCTCCCAGGACAGCACTGAGCCAGGAGGTGACAGTGTTCTGCCCCCTGGAGCTCTTCCCCTTGCCCGCCCTGCCCTTTCACGGGGTCACCTGCTTGGGGGTCAGGATCCCCATCCGAGCCACTCCCCGGGCTTCTGTCCTATCCCTGTTGGGGGCCAGAGAAAGGTGCTGGAGCTTGAGTGGCAGAGGGCACAAAGCGGGGGTGGCTTCCTGGGGGCTCCATCCGCCCCCAGGGTGTTGTCAGCGATTGGCACCCCCCCACTGCCAGGCAGAAGGGCCACCCCTCCAGTGCTGCACACGGCCCCATGCAGGAGAGCCGGTGTGTCGGAAGAGCACATGGATGGGTGCTGGCCACAGGGCGGCTGGGGCCCGGGGCCTGGGGCAGGCGGCTCTGGGAGGCCAGGTCCTGGGCGAGCAGGTCTCGGGTGAGCTCCTGGCCAGGGAACCCTTGAACTTGGGCACAAGGAGTGCGAACCTGTCTCTGGCATGCACTCCCCGCCTCCACCAGCAGGGGTCGCCTCGAGCCAGAGGTGGGCGAGTGAGCCGAGTAGATTCCCTGCCCTTCTGGGGGACTTTTAAAATGTTCTTTGTTTTGCCTTTTGCAGTACTAGGGATGAACCCAGGGAGCACTGGGCCACATCTGGGCTCTCAGTAAATGTTCTGCTGGGATCTCACCAACTCCCTCCAGCAGGCCTTGAGCTTGCGAGCCTCCTGCGTGCTGGGGTTACGGGCGCATGATCGTGTGTGTGCGGGCAGCCAGGTTTCTAGGTGGATTCTTCTGTGTCCCCAGACCGCTCTGTGCCCGGCACACTGAGCAGGCTGGCGCGCGTTTCACCCTCCTGCTGTGACGGCCAGGAGGGAGTGCCGGGCTGTGCCCGTCTCCAGCACAGGGCAGACCCTTTCTGCCCTCCGTGCCCGAAGCCTGGTGAGACCAAGTCTCTTCCAAGTCGGCCTCGCGGTGCAGCCCACTGCGGTCCTCTGCTCACACAGCCACTGTGGGGTGAAACTTCTGTGAGTGGAAGGCCGAGAGGTGGCTGGAGATGCACAGGGTTCACAAAGATCCCCGCTGCCTGAGCTGAGCAGGCCTGGTCCTCACGCAGGGCGCCCGGCCGCAGTGCCCAGGCCTCTCCTCCTCCCCCCCGCCCCCCCAGCTCCCGCGGCTGTTCCTGGTCTTTTTGTGACTGGACGCCACTTGGGTGGGACAGGCCCTCGCTGGCCACCTGGCCGGGGCGCACGGGGGAAGCGGGCTGTTCCTGGTCTTTTTGTGACTGGACGCCACTTGGGTGGGACAGGCCCTCGCTGGCCACCTGGCCGGGGCGCACGGGGGAAGCGGGCTGTTCCTGGTCTTTTTGTGACTGGACGCCACTTGGGTGGGACAGGCCCTCGCTGGCCACCTGGCCGGGGTGCACGGGGGAAGCGGGGAGCACTGCTGTGCCTGGTGGTGGCGAGCAGCAGCACCGTCCCGTCTGGAGCTGAGCCACGGAGTTGTGCTGTCACTAGGGCCCTGGCTCTGGGCGTGAGCGAGTGGGCTGGGGCCGGCAGGACAGGAAGCAGAGCCTGCCGGTGTCCCAGAGGGCAGTGGGGGCCCGGGCAGCTGGTTTCTGTGTGGCTGTGCGCATGGGATGGAAGGGACTCGCCTGCCCCACGCGGTCCTGGAGGACGGGCATGGGCGGGCAACACTATGAGGGCTTCGGCTTCGGGCTGCAGCCCCCGGTGTGGAGCTGTCGCTGGGAACGGGACCAACGGGGAGACAAGGCCCGGCCTCTGGGAGGCTCCTCCGCCTGGTGGGCAAAGCACACGTCACCCGCAGGCCCTGCTGCAGTCAGTGGTCGGGGCCCGCAGCCTGCCCACCCCGCGCCCCCGTGTCTGTGACATGCCTCCGCTCTGCTGAGTAGGCCTCTGTGCTGTGCTGCTCCTGTTGGCTTATGTGATCATCCACAAATAAATATTGTCATGCAACTGTGGCAGTGCCACGGTCTCTCTGCCTGTCCCACATCAGCTGTGCGGCGCCGCATGGCCAGCCAAGCCGAGCTGACCCCCGGCTGCCCTTGCAGGAAAGGGCACGGCCAAGCCCTCCGAGCCTGCGCTCTGATCTCACTTTGGGGGTTCCTGCAGGGGGACCGCTTCCCAGCTCTGCTCTGCCGCACCCTTGGGCCTGAGGGCTGCTTTAGACGTGGCCTGCCATCCAGTGTCTCTGCTCCTTGCGCTTGGATGGTGACCCTGCCATGCTCTTAGCTTGTGGGAAGCCGCAGAGGCCAGGAGAGGCAGGGATGGTGAGCAGAGGCTTCCGGGCCCTCTGCAGAGTGCACATGCTGCTGGCTACATCGTGGGAGCTGGGGACTCGGGGCAGGGAAGGGGAGCAGCCCCGGCCACAGGGACACCTGGGCGCTCTTGGCTGGAGCCACAGCCCTGCCGAGCGGAGTCCTGCACTAGCATTGCCTTGTAAGGGAGACCTGGAGAGCCAGTGTCCTGCCCTCTGCCTGCCCAGGGGCAGCAGATGGGGGGAGTATGGAGCTGGGTGCTGGGCAGGGTAGAGAAGGAGCCCACGCCGCCCCCGGCAGCCCCTGGGGGTGCGGAGAGGCTGCCTGGTATGGAGCAGCCGAGTCCTCTCCTGCCCACTGTTCCACTGGTCAGGCGCACAGCCCGTCCTGACCAAAGGCTTCTACCCGCAGTGCCAGGACGGGTGGCACATCCATGGGGCCATAGCAGTGCCAAGGTCCTAAGCCACTGCCAGGCCCCAGCCACCCTGCAGCTGCCTCCAAAAACCAAGCTGATCCCTCTCTGCAGTCACAGAGCCTGGTGTTGCCCTCCCATCTTGCCCTGCAGATCTGCTGCCCCAGGCTGCGGTGAGTCCATCAATAGATGGACAGATGGTCAGGTCACTGCAGGGCCAGGCAGGAGGACTGCTGAGTTCCAGGCCAGTCTCAACTACAGACCAAGACCCTTTCTAAAAAAAACAAGTGACATAGCACCTTCCTTTTTCCCTGTCTCTCTTCCTCCTCCGTTTTTCAGTATGGGAATTGAACCCAGGGTCTTCACACTGAGCTACATCTCCAACCCTATTTACTTAGCGCCAGGTTCTCACTAAGTCACTAAATCGCCTAGGAAGGGCTAGAACTGTGCAATCCTCCTGCCTCATCCTCCCAGAGTGCTGGGATTTATAGGTATGGGCCACCACACCCGGCCAGACTTCTGAGCAGGGGAGGGAACTTGGCAGAGGTCCACAGTGCTCCTGATGCTTCTCAAGGCAGCCAGGAGGCTCAGAGACCACAGCTTCCTAGCAGTGGTCTGGCCCCTCTGTCCACTTGTACCTAAACCAGACTGGTGCAGCGGCAGCTCGCAGCCCCCAGCCCTGCCCGAGACATGCTGCTCCCTCCTGCTACTGAGGCTTCCGACTCAACCCCACTGCCCCCTGCACAGAGACTCCACGGGGCTCCTGCTCTGCCCCTGCTGGGGACAGGCTGCAGGCCCCTTGTGAGCCCCACGTGGCACCTGCCCTTTCTGCTGGACTTGCCTGGTGGGAAACCGACCAGGTCTTCATTTGAGTGAAAATTTTTCTTTTTTTTTCTGTGGCTGGGCAGATGCCCAGGCCTAGCAGCAGTGTCACCCCACCAGGGACAGCTCTGTCAACATGAGTCACGCTTCCTCTGCACGTCCGGTTTCGGAGGTGAAGAAAAAAATCCAAGACAAGGAGCCATCAGCAAAGACTTCAAAAATATTTATTTAAAGATCAATAATGTAGAGGTCTCTGGGCAACAATTAAGAGCATTCACTGGGAGGGGAGTCACACAAAGACCCTGGGACCACAGTATAAGAGAAGCTGCTCTACGCCGAGGTCCCCAACACAGGCTGCGTGGGGCAGGGCCTAGAAATAGGACAGCTCGTCGTGCTTGGACTTGTTGGTCTGGTAGGCGGCCAGCACTGGGGGCTTCTTCTCATGCGGGAGGCTCTCGAACACCCGAAGGTGCAAGAAGTTCTGGTTCCCAGTGTCCACCTGGAGAGAGCAGGCGGTGAGGAGAGGAGAGGACCGCCCACCCCAGCTGTCCGGCACCTGCACAACCCCGCCTCCTCCCTCAGGACAGGGACCCTGAAGCTGCACTCAAGAGCTGCCGTCCTCCTCTGGAGGGGCCAGTGTGCACTTATTCACGCATCACAGGTCCAGGGGGCCGTGACCCCCCCAAAGCCAGGAGGGCTCTGGGACCCCAGAGGCACTTGGTCCCGCCCTGAGACCACCCTGGGGCCACACCCACCTTGATGAAGTAGTTGGTCCCTGCCACCACCTGGCTCTTGAAGGACACGGCCTTGAAAACAGAGTACTTCCGGTTTTCCTTCTCTTCAAGCTGGAGCTTCACCTGGGGGTGGGGGAGGGAAGGGCTAAGCAGGTCCCCAAGTGATGTCCAGTGCTGCTCGTGACACGGTCACTTCACAGCAGGGGTGAGCTGGTGGTCAGCTCCAGGGATGTGGAAGAAATCAGTTCCTTCTGAACTGCAGGTCTGGGGCTTGCTCAGAATGTCCTTGGCCCTTTTGTGGGGTGAGGACGTTTTAGTATTTTTATCACTGCATTGTAACATGATATATAAATTTATCCCGATTGGTTTTTTTCACTTCCTATGCAAGCATTTCAATTGACAGACTGTGTGGCACTTTTAACCAACCTTTTATTTATTACTTCGTTGGCACTACGGACTGAACCCAGGGCCTCAGGCATGAGAGGCACTTGCTCTACCACTGAGCTGGGCCGCCAGCCCTGACTCATCTTTTATTTTTTTTCCAGGAAGTAAACCCACAGGGTCGTTTATTTAAAGGATAAGGCAATTTTAAAAAGCTGTGTCTATTGCAGATATGGAGCAGAGTGCCTAACGCATCTTTTAAAATGGAATCTTTTCCACAAACTGAGATCTCTAAATTTCACCTTCCACCTCCCACATCCTAGACACACTTGGGTTCCTTTTACTACTCTGCCATGGTCAGCTGGGCGTCTCCTCACTCTGGCCAAGACAAACCACGAAGCCAGGGGACCCCACACAGGGGAAGGCCTGTCCCCTGCGTCTAATGCAGATCCTAGTCTGAGTCAAAACAGTGACCGAGCGTCTCACTTGGTCTGTTTTCTAGAGTCCCTGACCTTCAGGTGCTAACGACCTGTACCATGGAGGAAAGAGTTTGCTCCAAAAACAGTTTCTTAAATGAATACAGTTCACAAGTGCCAGGGCCGCCATCCGCCACGGCCAGGGCGCTGACCACGCCAGAGCGGATAGGCTGCTCCCCTCGGACCCAGTCTCCCGTCTGCAGACACCAGGAGGCAGCGGCCTCTGGAGAAATAAGGGAGTGGACCAAGGGGCAGGCGGTGAGTCACGGGGCAGGGGGACTCCCGCAGTGAGGGCTGAGGGGGAGTGGGGGTGGGCCAAGGCAGGTGAGTGGCCATCCACACCCTCGTGCTCCTGTGGCAGTGGCAGGGCTGTGCCTACTAGGACAGCACACTGTGTGACAGGGACGCAGCAGAGTCTGCTGCGTGACTGACACTCAAAAACCAGCGCCGGGGAGAGCGAGGTCATGTCTCAAGGTACAGGCAGGAAGGTGCAGGACAGCGAACCGTCCCGGCGGGGAGGGGCTCCAGGTCCCCCTGGCAAGGGCCAGGCGCGGGACCAGCTGGGCTTCTTGCAAGGCCGCAGACCTGAGAGCTGCCAGCCGTGGGGGCTCAGATGGGACTGCGGGGCACAAGGATACCCGAGCGCTGATCCAAAAGCAAGACCTGGTATCCTTCTGGCCCAGAGTCAGGCTCTGATCTCGATTCTCCTCGTTCTCAAGTGGAAAAAGGCACGGCAACCTGGTGATCACATCTGTAACCCCAGCACCCTGAGAGGCCGAGGCAGGAGGATTTCGAGTTTGAGCCCAGCGTGGGCAACACGGTGACACAGCAACACCCGGTCTCAACATGAAAAGAGAAAGGGTGAGGATGCAGCTCGGTGCAGAGGTCCTGGGTGCCGCCCCCAGTGCCTGCAGCGTGGTTTCCGCCAGGAGCAAAGCCACTGCCCACGGGCACACCTGTGAGCCACGAGGCTTCCCTGCGCGGAAGGCCAGACAGGGTGTGGTGGCTCTCCGCAGCCCGACGCCCCTGGGCCGCTTCCTCCCCGCCCACCCTGCCCGTGCTGGAGGCGGTGACCAACCCCGCGGGGCGCGGGGGTCGTCGGGAGGGCGCCTGATCCTCTCCTCACCCCGCCCGGGCCAGCCAATCACCTTGTCCGCGAGCTCCTGCGTCTGGGCCGTGGCCGGCCGCTCCTCGCTGGGCCCCCCGACCATCATCCTGGCGGCGGGTTCGGCAGTCACGGGTCACTTCGGGCCAGGCGCCGGGCCGGTCGATTTAAACGCTGGGACCTCGTGACGCGGGCGGGGCCGCGGGGCGGGGCCGCAGCCCTGCCCGGAAGTCCCCAGGCGCCTGGCCGCATGCGCACTCACGAACACGCGCACACGCATGCGCGCACAGAGAAAGTTCCTGGCGGCGGCGTCCTTGCTGCCGAGTCAGGAGGACGCCCGTCGCGGTCGGGCGCGAAGGGAAGGCGCCAAGCGGAGACGGCAGCCCGCAGCCCCCGGGGCAACAGGATGAGGGCGTGGGTCGCGCTGCCGCCGAGGCGGGCGCCGGGTCACCTGGGCCTCACTGCCAAGCCGGGCTGCGTGGACGCGGGAGAGCGGCGGGGCAGTGCATGGCGACGTGGGGCGGAGGCCGAGTCGCGCCGGGCCCATCGGTCAGAAGGGGTTTAGCGGCCGAAGGGTCCCGCGCTCAGACTCAACCCCCGGCACCCGCTTGGAGGGAAGGGCGCGGCGGAGCCGTTCGGGGGCCCCGCTACCCGCCCGCGGTTACAGGTGGCCGCCTGTCCCTGCCGGGCACCCGGAAGGTGGGAGGTCGGGCGTGACCAGTTTGGGGCAGCTCGGGAGAGACTGCTGTGCTTGTTCACAGAGGGAGAACACATTCAGCCCCCTAATGGAAAACTTCCGTAGAAGATAAAGTAAGCGGCCTGCTGGCGCCTGCCCTGCAGCTCTTCAGATGTCCCTGAGTCGCCTAGGCTCTGCTGGAGCCGAGTCGCTGTGCTCTCAGTTACAGGAGGGTCAGAACCGAGATAGACCAAGACCACCGGATGAGCACAGCTTTGGAGAGGGTAGTGCCAGCCAGTGCAGTGGCACACACCAGCAGGCCCAGCATCGAGGCAGGGTGTGACAGGAGGGTCACAGTTGAACAATTTAGTGATACCCAGTGTCAAAAGGGGCTTGGGAGGTAGCTCACAGAAAGAAGGAAGGAAGGAGAAAAGAAAGGAAAAGGATTCTTAAGAGCCTGGCACGGTGATGCACACCTTTAATCCTAGCTGCTTGGGAGGCTGAGGCAGGAGGATCTCAAGGTTGAGCCCAGCCTGGGAAACTTAGCAAGACTGTTTAAAAATCAAAAGGTGGCCAGGGATTTAGCTCAGCGATTCCGGTGCCTGCCTCGCAAGCGCAAGGTCCCGAGTTCGATCTCCGGTACCAAAAAAAATCAAAAGGGCTGAGAATGTAGCTTGGTGGTAGAGTGCTTGTGTAGCATACAGGAGGCCCTGGGCTCCATCCCTCTCAAAAAGGAAGAAAAAAAGGGTTTGTCTTCAGGGACCACCGTGCAAGCAGCCAGCTGCCCTGGCAGAGGTTGAGCCCACGGGAGGAAGCATCACAGGGACAAAGGTTGGCCTGGGCTATCTCTGGCTGACAATGGCACAGCTGGCTTTTTCTCGTTGGCCCCAGATCGGAAGAGGGATAAGCGTGGCATGAAGTCTGAGCCAGGCTGCCTGTGGATGGCCAAGTCAGCGCAGTCTTGTGCAAAGTGACTGCCTGTTTTCAGTTGCGTATTTGCCATGAGATGCCCAGCTCTGCCCTGCCCAGTGAACCCAGTAACTGCAGAGCCAGCAATAGGAGAAGCAAGCTTCGCTGGTGACAGGTGCAGGGTGCAGGGCCATCACCCAGTCCCTCTCCAGGGGTAGCAGATGTGACACACATGGGGCGTCCAGGTCCAGGTCCAGCCCCAGCCAGGCAACACCAGGGCAGCCATTAATTCTTGCAGGACTCTTCTCTTGTCCACGGGACCCAGGCGGCCTGGCATCCCTGTCCCGTGACCTGAAGGAAGCCTCCATCTGGAGGCTGTGGCGGGGTTTGACGACCCCCGTTCCCCATCCCCCTTGCTGGCTGCCAAGGTGAGGCTGGCTGCCAGTGAGTCACGGGGTGGGGAGGAGAGAAGCCAAGGGGTGAATCACTTGTCACATGGCTCCAAGCTGCCTTCCTGGCTCCGGGCGGGGAGCAGAGAAATGTTCCCAAGCCTCTTGGGCGAGGCTGCACCTCAGGCCTCTTGGGTAAGGCTGCACCCCTAGCCTGGGTGTGGACCCGGCCCTGGACCTCCTGAGCCAGGTAGGCCTGACTGCTGCAACAGCGTGGGCTCTTAGCATTGGGATTGTCCTGTCTACCGTTAGCATACACTCACTCGTAAGCCTCAGTATGCTTTGTATTACTGCCCCCCCCCCGCCCCCGGCCCTGGGAAATAGTCTCACTGCTCATTTCTTGGTACCAGGGTTTCTCATCCCATGAAGCCCAGGGCAAAAACTGGTTATCCTGTCTCCTAACTAGTCATCCTGTCCCATCTCAAGGGCCTCAAACATCACTCAAATTTGAAATGGGATCTAGAACATCAAAATTTTAGCTGAGCCTAATGGCACATGCCTGTAATCCCAGCACTCGGGAGCCTGAGGCAAGAGGGTTCCCACAAGTTCGAGGCCAGCCTGGGTTACACAGTGAATTCACGGCCAGCCTGAACTACATGATACCTTTTCTCAAAAAATAAAAGTCAAAATTTTAAAGTCAAGCTATTTTGAAATCTCTCTTGTGAAACCTGATCTTCCCAGCAGATTGCAAGTTGCATTTATGCATCTGATGCTGCCCAGTATCTCCCATCCCTCATCCCCACGGGCACATCTTACCCAGACCTCCCAGTCCCAGGCTGCCTGTGTCCTTGGTGCAAACCTGTCATTGTGAGAATTTGCTGCCAAGTAAATTCCAGCCCAAGAGACTCTGGTTGGGAGAAAAAGAAAGATGAAGCAGTTACATAGTCTTTTAATGTCTCATGGGTCCCCCCTGAGCAGCTGGATTGATCCCAGAGCTCACAAAAATCCAGATGTCAGGGAGGGAGTAGACTTGGGCATAAAGGCCTCTGCTGTTAACCCACTGTTAGCTTGGTACTAGCAAGAATCAGAAAGGGAGGCCAGGCTCTCCTGCGTGTGCCCACGGGCCCTTGCCCTGACAAGCTCTGGTTCTCTTCCTCTCTCTTTCTCCCACCCCAGAGAGTTGTGACAAACCCAGGCTGGCCTCAGGAACCCTCTTGCCTGAGCCTCCTGAGTGCTGACATTATAGGCGTGTGCCACCACGCCCATCTTGCTTCAATGTTTCTTCACAGGTATCCACTCGAGGATGCCCACTCCCTGCTGGCCCTGGGCCCCAGGTGCCCATGCGTTATGAGTAGGTAGTTAACACCTGTGGCAGCAGACAGAGGACATCACTGAGGATGGGCAAGTCTGCTGAGTCAGGCCTTGCTCAACAAGGGAAGGAGCCACCTGCATCAGCAGAGACGGGCAGGTGAGGGCAGGCACAGCTGTTCCCACCTTGATGCCTTCATAGAACAGGCATGTCTTAGTCACTTTCCTCATCGCTGGGACACAGTGCCTGACACTCACAATCTACAGGAGTTTATTTTGGCTCACGTTTCAGTCCACGGCTGGTCGGCTTCAAAGAAGGGGCATGGTGGAGAAAAGCTGCTCACATCATGGCGACCAGGAAGCAGAGGCAGAAGAGAGGAGCCAGGAAGGGAGATGAGCCCTCCCAGGCCATTTGAGACCCCACCTGGCAGCAAGTCAGCTATGAGCCCGTGACCCACACCTTCCAGAGGTCCCACCTATGGTCACATGAGGCTGTGGGGGATATCCAGATATAAACTACAGCAAACCACCAGTGTTTGCCTCCTTACACACTCTAGTAAGGGAAACACAAAACTTCAGGATATAAAACTAACACATGAAGCAATAGGTTCCTGCACACCAATAATCAGCCCACTGAGAAAGAAATCAGAAAAACAGCTCCACTCAGTAGCTTCAAAAAAATTTAAGTACCTAGGAACCTAACCAAGGAAGTTAGTGACCTCTACAATGAAAACTACTGAAACTGAAGAAAAACAGAAAAAACTAGAAAGTGGAAAGAGACCCTCTGTTCATGGATGAGAAGAAATAATACTGTGAAAATGGCTATATTACTAAAAGCAATCTACAGATTGAATGAAGTTCCTATTAAAATACCAACAACATTCTTTACAGAACAACAACAAAAAAATCCTAAAGGCCATATCTAGAATAAGAATAGCCAAGCAGTCCTGAGCAAAAAGAGCAAAGCTGGAGGCCTCACAAGACAAGGCTCAGCTTACGTGGCAGAGCTGGAGTACCAAAGACACCACGGTACCAGCAGAAAGCAGACACAGATCCACAGACTGCAGCGGAGGGCACAGAAACAAACCTGTGCGTCTGCTGCCATCTGACTTCAGTCAGAGGGGCCAAAACCAGGCTGGAGAAAAGACAGCCTCCGTCACAGACAGTGCAGGGGAGACTGGACACCCATGTAGAGAAGACTGAAAGATCCCTGTCTCCCACCCTCTACTGAAGTCAAATCAAAATGGATTAGAGACCCAGATATAAAACCCGAAACTTTGAAACTGCTGGGAGAGAACAGAGGAAACACTTGAAACCATAGGCACAAAGACTTCCTGACTTGGCTCCAATAGCCCCAGAAATAATATCAAGAATCAACAAATGAGCCGCATGTGGTGGTGCATGCCTGTGATCCGAGCACTCCAGAGGCTGAGGCAGGAGGATCACAGATGAAGCCACTCTGAATTAATTAAAAATAAAAATAAATAAAATAAAATAAAATGGGACTACATCAAAAAGCCTCCAGGGCCGGGGATTTAGCTCAGTGGCACCATGGCCGGCCTCAAAAGCCCAAGGTCCTGAGTTCAATGTCCAGTACCAAAAAAAAGCTTCCACACAGCAAAGGAAAAAATAAAGAGACAGCCTGCAAAATGGGAGAAAATCTTTGCTAGCTACTTTTCTGATAGATTAATATCTATATAGTATATAACTCAAAAAGATTACCCCCCCCAAATAACCTAATCAAGAATGGGCAAATGAGGTGAACACACAGATCTCAAAAGAAGAGCTACAAATGGCCAATAAGTTTATGAAAAAATGGTTAACACCTTTGGCTATTAGGGAAATGCAAATCAAAACTATTTTGAGATTGCATCTCACCCCAGTCCGAATGGTTATCACCAAGAACACAGGCATTCCTCCTTTAACGGCTAAGTCCCCCAGCCAGGTCC